AGGGGCCAGAGGATCTCGGTCTTCGAGGCTTGAGGCTCGAACCTGGACGTGAACGCCGACCCGACCCAGTCGGTTATCGGGCCATAATTCGGTCTCGGGGACTCTGGTGGCCGTTCGGCATGACTCCGGCACCCCCGGGGCGCAGTTTGTCGTTCCGGATTGATTTCTGACGGTCCTGGGCCCCGAAAATGGCCTCCACAGGCTACGACGCCGGAAACCCGCCTCGGACTTCGAACCTCAGGGGTCGACGAAAATAGCTGGCGTCATCGGAGACGCGGCCATCTCGTCCACCACAGCGGCGGCAGCCCAACTCCACGGGTTTCAGGCGGCGGGCGTGAGCGCGGCCCTCCCGAGCTCAGCCCACGCGCCGCTTCCGCGCAGGCGTCTTCGTAGGATTTGAGGCGTCGTCGGCGCTGGGAACGGAAGGGGAGGTTCGAACCTCGAGGATCCAGGTTTGATGAGTTTTTTGTCGTTTTACGCCTCTGGACGCCGCTTTCGGGCCCCGGGATCGTCGAAAATCGATCCAGGGTGAAAAACTGTTTCGGAGGGGGTCCTGGGAAGGGCCCGGGGGCCGATTTTAATTTGATTTCGGTCATCCTGGGGGGAGGAGGGGGAGGACGACGACGAGGACGAGGAGGACGAGGAAGACGAGGAGGGCGAGGGTTGGAAATGACGGGGCGCCCCCGTAAGTTGACCCGGTTCGTTCGAATGTGTTTCGCAGATATTATTGGGATTCTCGTTCAAATTAAACTCCGACCCTCCATCCCTCCAGGCTCCGCCGGAGGCGCCCGGAGAAGAATATTTTCAAATTGCGGCCGTGCCCCCAAATTTGAAGCACGCCCCTTTGCGTCGCCCGGGACCCCCCAGGAATCCCAGGGGCCCAGACGGATTCTGTTGGTTTGTGGAGGATTTTTCGAACCCTCCATCCTGGACGATTCCTTCATGGGCGCTCTCTTGGGGCCGCTTCCAATCAGCGGATGGCACCTCCAACGACGCGCGTACGCGCGCGCGCGTGGCGCGTGCTCACTACTGATGAAGGGCCCCCCCCCCGACGGGATCTCCCAAGTGCGGCGGCAACGGGCCCGTCGTGGACGAATGCGCAAAAACGATCTGTCGTCGCACGGGCCATTTTTTAATCGGTCAAATGAGCTGTGCGATGTGCGATATGCTCGCCGTGGACAGCTCAGTTCAAGCACGCGTGGCACGCAATATTTTTGGCGCGACGGCGACGGGGGGGGGGGGGCACGCGCATGCGCAGCACAAATCACGCAGGTTGGCTAACGGTGCGACAGCGACCGGCGGGGCCGCGACAGATGGACCTTCCACTTGTTTCCGAAACTCTCCGCGCGGTGCGACGGCGACGGGGGGGGGGCAGACAGATGCCCTGTACATAGAATGTTTGAATTCAGTTTGTGGAATTACATGTCGACTGTTCTAGTGTGGACAATGCAAAAACTCTGTCGCGCGCGCTTCTGACTTTTGCATTGCCCACACTAGACAAGTGGACGCGTCCGTCGGCCTCGTTAAAAAGCCACAGGCATTTTGAATTCAGTTTTTGGAAATCATTGTGGACAATACAGAACTCTGTCGCGCGCGCGCGTCTGAGTTCTGTATTGTCCACACTAGAAAAATCGTCGCGTCCGTCGGCCTCCTTAGAGAGCCACAGAAATTTTGAATTCATTTTTTCGGAATTACATGTCGATTATGCTTATGTGGACAATGCAGAACTCTGTCGCGCGCGCGCGCGTCTGAGTTCTGTATTGTCCACAATAGAAGAGTCGACGCGTCCGTCGGCCTCCTTAAAGAGCCACAGAAATTTTGAATTCAGTTTTTGGGATCACATGCCGATTTTGCGATTGTGGACAATACAGAACTCTGTCGCGCGCGCGCGCGCGTCTGAGTTCTGTATTGTCCACGCTAGAAAAGTCGACGCGTCCGCCGGCCTCCTTGAAGAGCCACAGAAATTTTGAATTCTGTTTTTGGCTTTACATGTCACCTAGTCTATTGTGGACAGTACAGAACTCTCGCGCGCGCGTCTGAGTTCTGCATTGTCCACACTAGAGAAAAGTCTACGCGTCCGTCCGCCCCCTTAGAGAACCACAGAAATTTTGAATTCAGCGTTTGGAAATACATGTCGACTATGCTAATGTGGACGATTCAGAAGTCTGTCGCGCGCGCGCGTCTGAGTTCTGTACTGTCCAGAATAGAAGAGTCGACGCGTCCGTCGGCCTCCTGGAAGAGCCACAGAAAGTTTGAATTCAGTTTTTGGAATTACATGTCGACCGTGCTAATGGGGACAATACAAGAACTCTGTCGCGCGCGCGCGCGTCGGAGTTCTGCATTGCCCACACTAGAAAAGTCGATGCGTCCGCCGGCCTCCTCAAAGAGCCACATCAATTTTGAATTCATTTTTTGGAGATACATGTCACCTGGTCTATTGTGAACAATACAGAACTCTGTCGCGCGCGCGCGCGTTTGAGTTCTGTATTGTCCGCAACAG